GTTGAAGCCAATAGGATTTAATGGAGATGTCTGTAGAAGCAGGATCCATCTCTAAGTGGTGGAAAATACTGTCAATATCATAGGATTACAGTGGTTGGGAAGTATGTGGTATAAGAAATGTCTGATTTAGATCTGGGAATTTTCTTCCTTCTGCCCATACTTACCTTTCTGATGTTAGAGATAGCAGTTGTTTCTTGCATAGCTTAAAGACAAAATATTTGGGGGACAGGAAGGTATTTTTTTTTCTGTGTACATGTACAAAAATTGCAAATTTGCCTGATTAGAGAGCTGATAATCTAAGCTCCTTAATATTTTGTAACCTGGCATTATAACAAAAAGTAGAATTACTGATTTTTTTTCTTAACTCCTATTCATGACAGTGTAGCACATTAGTTTTTGAGTTTAATTTTAGAACATCAGGATTTTATTAGGTTAAGGATCTGTGGCTTTCACAGAAATAACACTCCTATGGTGCATGCCCAGAAGACCCCCATTGCTGTACCTTCCTGGCCAGCACCTTTAAAGAGCTGCTGTGTATGGAAATGCTGCTTCATCTGACTCACTTTTCCTTGCTCCACTTTTTCTTTATGTTGGTTGGAAATCTTCCCATGTGAAAGATTACAAAAACAAGGGGCATGTGCAATAGCTCATATATATATATATACATATATATATTTTAATACTTGTGGACAAAATGATGTTACAAGTTGTTTGAAAACAACAAAATCACCAATGTCTTCCATTTTGAGATGTGTATAGTTCCATAAGCATTAGTGCTTTGTAGCAAACTGTAGTGCCATGTTAGGACCAGTGCATGAGCCTAGTAGTATTTTTACAATTTCTGAGTGACAAATTTATTAGTAAACAGTGATGATAATGTAATTAACACTAGAAAGGATACAATAGGAATGTCACAAACATGGTCTAAACATGCAGTATCCTCCCTTTGACAATGGCAATGCTATCCTTAGAAATGGAACTCATTCACTTAATGGGCTTCATAGAATCATAGTTGACTTTTTGATATTTGTCTGTCTGTCCAACTACAGTAGTAAGCTAGAGTATGCAAGTATCCATAATTCCCATCCCTATCAGTGTGATTCTTTTCTTTAAATCTTTGTTGGTGTTTTCTTCCATTTTCAATTTTATTGAACCGTCTATTACCCATCCTGTGATATACTCAAAAAGTATGAATATGCTAAGGAGTTTGTGTGCATTCTGTACACATCTCTTACCTTCAGATAATTTACAACGTCTGTTAAGTAATCTTGTCTTTTTTTCAGATCTGACTCTATGATTATAGCTAGCAAAACATTATCCTCATTGTGTGATAAGTTGATAGTTGCAAAATGTGGTGTGCTAATTATGCGTAGAAGACTTTTCTCCATTATTGCAGGAATGGGGAACCTTTTTTGGCTGAAATCCTATTGAATCTTAAAATAACTTTGGTGGATCCTGCATTTACATACATCTTAGTAAGAGAGAAAGGTCCAAGGCTGTTGGAAAACAATGTTGTAGGCTGTATCTCTGCAGCAGGCTGTCTCTAGCCAATGAATCAGAGATTCCCCACCCCTGTATTATTGAGAATTCAGTATCTTGTATTTTAGGTAACTTCCAGTTTTGCTTTCTAGCTCTAAGCTCAATTTTAATGATTTCTGTCTCTCCCTCTGCTTTTTTCAGAAGGAAAGTTTAGACCAGGGAAGTAAAATTGGCTTAGCACTCAATGGGCAGCTTAGACTGGTCGAATAGGAGACTGGTATGATTCTTGAGGTGTGCATTGCTCTGTGGATGGCATCCTCTGATTTCCTAGGAATAAGTCTTTTATTTGATGCCAGTGCTGTTCTTCACCCATTTCTCTCTTTCAGCTTAGAGAGGATACTGCATCTTTTTTTCCTGAGACCTGCCTGTAAATGGCCATTAGGGGGAGGGAGGGAATGGGTAGCTTGGTTTTGTAATTTTGGTACGATATATCTTTAAAGTAATTAATCAAAAAGCATGTACTTCTGTGCAATGACAGTAATCCAGGCAGAATTCATGTATGTAACAGGGAAAAAAAAACCCCAACAAAACCAACCAAACAACCCTCTGCATCTAATAAATTTCTGAGAAAATTGGACAGGTGGGCCATTTACAGCAGAGCTCTGGGGGACCTGTGCTAAGAGTCAGGTTCAATTCTAAATGGACGTAGCTGTACCATTGAATAAAGTAGTTTAGTGCTTGGGAGAATCAATTGAAAAATACCTCTGAAACTGGAATGCAAAATAGCACAGTATGTAGGGGGAAGAATCCCTGATGCAAACAAAGCCATAAGATGATTTAATAAGAAAATAGAACTTTAGTAGCAATAACTGTTTTGCATGTGATAGTAAATAACTTGCATTAGCAAGACTGTACAGTAGAGTAAGTGGGTAATAACCAAATAAGTTTGTGGCGCTCTGTGCTGCAGGGAGTTGTGTGAAGAGTCTTCCTGAGAAGAAGGGTGAATTCTTCTTATGTTCCTCTCATTGGAGGGATTTTGGCACTTGAATACTAAGTTAATGAACGTGATATATATATTAAAACAAGAAAAATTAGCTTTGCCACATGTCTGAAGCACTGTCAGTGAGTGCTGGGGGAAGGGCAGACAGTTCTCTTTGAAAGGATAGCTGAAGTTTCCCTGTAATTTTTTTCTTTCTCTGTAGCCTAGCACTTGCTCTCTTTCTCTGAGAAATGAAACTTTTCCAAGTACTGTACTGTGCAGAGAACCTGATTCTAAAGTTAGAAACTTTTGTGGTGGGAAGTACTTTTTGTTTTCTTTGTTTATAAAGACCAATCTGAGGTAGTCTTTAAATAAAAAAAAAACCAAAACAAAACATTAGAGAGCACTTGACACTCAAAACATTTGTGCATGCCAAGCACAACTGTAGAATTCTAAAGATGTTGCAGCAGAAAATCATTTCAGCTTTGCTAAACACTGCTTCAGACCATAATTGATTTCAGCTGATGCCTGAAGTTTTGCAGAGGAAAGTACTGTGAAGCCTCTGGTAACACAAAAGGTTATTGATCTTCACCTGTAGATCTGCATCCAGAAAATTACTTGCTATCAAAGGGTTGCATAAAAGAGCCACAGGAGTTCTAAACTGTTCCCAGTTGACACTTTTCAGTGTAGATGCCTCATCTATGGACACAGTGCAGCCCAACATACAGTAAGTGTATTCTGAACAGAATCAGAGGTTCAAATCAATCTGACTGCATTTCTTCTGGAAAGCTGAAGTCATTTAGACTGTAAGCTTCCAGCTTAGTGGAAGCTTCTTATGTTTTTAAAGCATGAGGGTGAAGCACTTTGGCTCTTCATCAATTGACAATGGAACTGTGAGGGCTGTGAGCATTTTTGCAGTATAAAGTAACAGGATAAGCATGAGAATGTCTAAATTAAGTGTTGGCTAATGTGTAATAAGCTTATGAAAACTAATTGATCTGAAAGATTGTAATCAGCTTAAATTCCTACTATTGATTTTTTGATAAAATTGGAAGCTGGCCATAGGGGACCTTCATTTGATTGCTCTCTGATTACTGGTCTGTGATCAGCAAGTACATTTACATAATAATGAAATTATAATTGTAACAAAGTCACATTCATACTTCTGAAGTATGAACTTTGTGGCTGAACAGAATTCTTCGAGGATATATCCACTCAGAACAGGGGGGAGGAAATAAAGACTGATGTAGCCAGGCAAGCTATCTACATACACTTCCCAGTTCAGGCTTTTAATAATGATTTGAATTCTGTGGGCTGCTAGACTAGGCATTGGTATTCACACCAACAAAAGGAGTCCCTTTGCCTTTCAGCTCTTGTACTATGGCATGACTTTTGCTTCAACCTTGATTTAACAGCTTCTAAAACTAAGTGGAAGTGTCAGGTTCCACCACTCTTGGGTGTGGTATATCAAAAGGTATAATGATCAGTATGGACATGCCTCCTTTAGCAGTACTAAAGCCAGATGATACAAATATATTCTGTTTGTATATCCAGTAGTGCTGCTGCAGAAGGTCTAGCCAGTACTTGTGTTGGGAACCTTCTTATACCTTCTGAAACTGAGGGTATTTGTCAAATTTATGAGAAAAAAGGAAGTCTTGCAAAGACTTTTTGATAGCAAGTGGGAAGAAATTGTACTGAGCTTGAGGATACTGACACTTTACATGAGGATTACAATGTCAAGAACTGGCAGTCTGTTTTTTTTGGGGGGGCAGAAAAGAAAAAAATACTGAAGGTAGAACTATTTTAGATTTATAATGAATCTTAGAAATTACTGCTTCTTGCATCCTTAGGAAACTGGCTGGTCTTCCTCCAAGACAAATAATCCTGCTTGCTGATCAGGTACAGAGCTGCAGAATGACAGTTCAGGTTAGATTCCACTGGATTTCTTTCATAGAATGACCCAGCATTTTGTCCCTGTAGCACTTTGACTGGCATACAACAGCCAACAGTTGAATCAGGGTGTCTTGTTCAACAGTGCAGACACTAACCATGGATTCTGAAGTCTGTTCCCTTTCAGTCTCTACACTTCCTCCTGTGTTTTAGAGAAAGTGTCAGTGTTCATGATGTCAGCAGAGCGTGTTTCTGTCTCTGAGCCTGTGTACCAGGTTATAATATGGATAAACTCCCAAGACTTTTACCCCATCTAAATTAAAGATAGAAGGAACTTTCTGTTCAGTGTGTCCTATGTAAATCCTGTCTGCTTCTCTCCACTTCCCCTCCAGATGAGTGTGTTTGCAGGTTAAGTGAAAGGCAGGTAGCTTGTAATGCCTTAGGCATGAAGAACTGCATGGAGAAACTGAAGGAAAGCAGCACAGGCCCACAAACAAATCTTAGAGCTAGTGTTCTAATTATGCATGATTCAAAATGTCTAGTGTAGTGTAGTTATTACCAGTAAACTGAGATATGCATTTATACATAATGAAGCAATAGGAATTAATATACCAATAGCTTGAACTTCCTGCTTTGATTCTCAAATTTTGGGTTTTTTTTAGAGAATGTGCTGCCTCTGTAGAGAAGGGGGCAGAATGTATAGATAGGGACAGAAGCATGGCACCAAAACTGTAAATCAGGAACTGGGATCAGCAGAACTCGCCTCTGTAACCTCTAGTCTGGTTCATCTCACTGTCCTGAGCATGTGAAAAGCAGGGCATGAACTAAGCATGTTTAGAGGCGAGATGAGGTTTCTCACCTGCTGCAGCTGTAGCAAGGAAAAGGGTGCAGAGTTTCTTACACGGTGCAGGGGAGCTACTGGTGGGAAGGAAAAAAGCCAAACCCACAAAAAAATCACCCCAAAACCCAAGGCGACAAACGAGTAACAGAAACCACAGACTCAAATTGAGTGTAGTATTTGCCAGACAGCAGTAAGTAATAGCTTGAGTGTGGTGAGAGAAATTATTTGGAGAATACTGAAATTAATAAGCACAGTAGATATTTTTCAGGTGTTGAATAGCTTTTTAAGAGACAGTATTTTCAGGTAACTCTAGCCACATAGGCAGCTGTACTGAAGCATACTGGTACCAGCCAGCAATAATGGCATCTGCAGGAATGAACCTGAAAATACTGGTAATCTTGTATATTTTTTAAGTTCTTTAAAGAGATTTTTAAAAACAGAAAATTAGATTTGATCACTGAAGGTCTTTATCTTCTGCAACAGAGGTTGCAATTGTCTTTTTTTCTTTATTTTGCTTACTAGATAAAAGGGAATTTGGGTGCCATCTTTACCTGTAAACTCTTAGTGTGTTCTCTGTAATTCAAGTCTCTTAGTGGATAATGCAGTCAATCTCTGCTGGCAGTTTTAAAATAAGAGAATGTGTGGCATAGCCTACATCACTAATACTTTTCCAAGTTTAAACTTGTAATTAAATGTGTAGAATACTGGCTTGTAATTGCAGAATTCCATTCTTGTAGCTTAGCTTAATTTTGTAAGTGGGCTTAACTTGTGCAGAACACTTCTCCATGTACAGAGGCTCAGTCCTCTCTCTTAAGTAGAAAGTGTCTTGGAGGAAAAAAAGGTGTGTCAAGTTAACTCCTGTTCATACTTCATATCCAGCCATTCATAAAGCACTGTGTTTTGGGTTTGGAATGGGAATTGTGGTTTTACCCATGAATGCTCTTTTTAAATATGTAAGGATTGCCAAATGAAGATACAAATTTTATAAGAGAAGATAACTATTCCATGGTATCACAAGTTAGACTGAATGAAACTCTTTGAGCCAACTTCAAGAAACAAGAAAATTTCTAACACAAAGTTAGCCCAGTGGTTAACCATGGTCATTCTTAATTCTTCAGAACACTATGCATGGTTTTAAAGTCTGTTAAATATTGTGATGAGTAAGCCATTGTATCCTTTGTATTTCCCTTCAGTATAACCTGGGGAATAAGCTACTTCAGGATATCAGTGAAGTTATTTTCCTTTTGAAAAACATAACAGCAAAGGAAAAGTATTAGGTGTAAATTCCTAAAAATTACCTTAGTACTTAATAGGCTAAAGAATACTTATATTGAATTTTTGATAGCATTCTTGCATGGATTAGTGGAGGAAATTATTGGTGTGACTACAAACTATGTACTCCCATTGCACATGTTTTACATGGTAACAGTGAAAGAATGTCTCCCTGCAAATTCTGATTTTTTCCAAAAGGCAGCTTGCTTTTATATCTATGCATCTTTGAGGATTTCAAGATAAGATTTTATTCTTTTGACACTGTAAAGAGGAACTGTTTAAAAATGAACCTGGAAACTCTGCACCTGTATACAAACTTTTTTAGCAATAAAGCAGCACAGGCTGAGAATGCACTAAAACTGGATGTGTCATCTGTTCAGAAGACAACCCAATTACTGTACATTCCACTTCACTTCTGAGGTGTACTTGCGGTAGCTCTGTCAAAACTTAACAACTTGAGCTGAATTCTTACATGCTGGATATCTGCTTTGGGGCCAGCTGTCCCAGCAGACTTCTGACTTAAATAGCAGCTAAACAAAAATTGTTATTCCACTTCAGTCCCTTCAAGGGTTATTTTAGAGGGTAGCAGAAATTCTGCTTCTTTTCTTGATTGGTTAAAAGTAACAAGGCCCCTCAGAAGACTGTTTTATGGATGTCTTGTTTATTGTTTTGGTGACTACACTTCACAAAATTTCTTTGGTTGGTGGAGGTCTTCCTAGTTTCAAAGATTACAGAAATGCAGTTTAAAAATTTATCAGCTATTCTTCAGCACATACTTATTATTTATTTAAATCCATGATAGGTAATATAATTTGTGGAACCAATACTTTAATGCTTTATAACAAATGAGGACCTAAGTGAGATAAAGTGATGGGTTTTTTCTGCAAAATAATCAAAGGAAAAGAAGTAGGCCTAGGACTCACATAATAATGGCAGTGATTCGGACTATATGAATTTCTGAGTTTCAGCTTTTATTTAAGAAGTTTCCTTCTTCACAACTTTAAATATAGTACAAAAATGTAACTGACAGTTTTCTTTTAGGGATCAGCACTAATGAAGCAAAACAATTTAGCATTATTCATAATACAGACATAAAATAGCAAGAACCATTCTCAATGCAGAAACTAGAATGAAAGGGCAAAAGCAAACAGTCCCATTATCAATCACATTTCTTAGACTCATGCAACAACAACAGAAGAAGTAAGGAAGTGTTACAAAGGTGGTATTAGAGTTTGTGAGAGTCCCTGCTCTCCTTGCAGAACGACTGTTGATACTCCATGGTTTTGCTTATAACAATGAACTGAGTCCATAAGAACTCCCAAACAGAAAGCAGCACAGTGAGCATTAGGAGTAGCCTAAGTGCCAGTTGCCCACCTAAAACCTCTGAGGTGCCTTACAGTGAGTTTTGTGCCCTTTGCTCCAAGCAGTTATTTTACAAATAAGACAAAACACAGAACTGGCAGCAGCAGCAGCAAGGTCTGCAACCTGCTGGTCATAAACATGTTAGGAGAAGGCAATTTGCATCACTGGAATTAAGTTGATCAAGAAAATAGAATCCTCTCTAGACTACTACAGACAACTACTAAACTTTCCATAAAATTCATTATTCCTTTGGGGAAAAACATTAGCCCTTTAGGCAGGGAAGGGGAGAGGAAAAGGGACCTTAATCTTCCAAAAAACAAGAATTAGGGATATTCTGTCCCAGTAACAAAGGGTAAGTAGTGCTTTCTTATCTGTAAAATTATTTTCTAAATATTAGGAAATAAACAGAACCAATTTTCAACAGAGAGATGCCAATGAGCCACGAGTAGGTATTTTTTATGAAACATCCTAACTGGCCACTTGAAGGCAACAGGCAGTCCTAACTTCAGGAAAGCAGTGCTTCCAGGATTGTGCAGAAGGCTGTCCCTTGGTTTCATAGTTAACATTCCAGAAAGAAACCCTCAAATCTGTTCAAGGCAGTTGCTCACAGCGTTAGCTGGCAAAATTTGACTCAGTTCTGTTCCTGGGGCTGCACTTCAGCAGGCTTGGCAGGCACATGGGTTGCCCTTTACCTGAAATTCAAAACCTCATGTTCTGCCTCCATGGTGCCATCCTGACTTACGCTCCAAGAATATTGCAGCATCTTTGATGTGCTTGTCTGCTGCTTTTGCAGGCAACGCATACAAGGAAATCTCAGAACTCTTCAGGAGTCCATATAGCAGTGGCTCACCCATCAGATGTAGCTAATGAGCCACTTGACCAAAATCTAGCTGCCATTAACAATGGGTCTGTATTGAAATACAGGACAAGAGCTTTAGGTTTTTAAGAATGTTCAGTTTGTAATGGTGGCTGTTGAATAGCATCACCTTGTTAAATATGTTTTGCACAGCTCCAGAAACCTGACTTCAGTATTTCAAAGGCTGGTTTCCCCCTGAAGTCCTTAGAAAAAACAAAGTCAGATTTACACTGCCTCAGAGAGTAACATGCTGCATGGGTGAGCTATTCAGTCTCCCAAGCATAACTTTAGTATGTCAGACTCTCAGGTATTCCTGAAGGGATGCACTTCATCATCAGTTCTTTCCACACACAGATAAAGTGACAGATCAATACTCAGACCTGGTCTGGTGCATTATTTCTTTGTAATGACCAAACTCAGCAGAGATGCAGAAACAACTCCAGCAGTTCTTGAAAATGGGTATTAGTTGGCATTAACTCCTGCATATCCTGATAGTAGGTCATCTGGATCTGTTGAAGAGGTTTGCCATTCTGTTACATAATTATTTTGTTACATAATTATTTTATCCAGCTTCCTTGTCAATAATTCTACACGACTACTTAACTCCACAAGCTTTTCTTTCATCTAGGAAAAAAGAGAAGAGTATTAAAATCAGCAAAAAAAGTCCTAACACTGGATCTTTGAATAACCTGCACCCCACTTAAAGCGGCTAAAGAGCAGCTCACTTTCAAAGTGGGAAAATATAGAGGGGCTTGATCTCTATACTGCATGTTAAGTAGTGACAAAAACAGCACCCAGATCAGAGGGCTGCACCAAAAACTGGAGATGGATCAATGTGTACCAGAATCAGCCCTTCCAGGGACATAGTGGAAGATGAAGATGGAGTTGTTGCACTTTTACTATGATGAACCTGATCTTTCCTAGTTAACTCAAGTTTTCACACTGACAGAGACTTTCTTTGACAATATGTGGACAAACTGTTTCATCATTAGCTTAGGAATACATGTGGACATTATGTCTCAAAAAGCAAAGGCCAGATGCTTGAGCTTGTTCTAGTCAACAAGGGAACTCTCCACAGTCACGTAATTTGTGTTTGCAATGAAGTGCTGTCATAATTTTACTTCAATCATGTATTATTATTAAATCATGTCTCAACTTCAGAAGTTTTATCTAGATAAGATTTTTTTATCTTAGCCTCACTTGACCTGTGAAAACACTCTGATCTTATAGAAACTGGAAGATGACTTGGAAGAGGACAAAACTTAGAAATGTAAAAGGCCCATTACAAGAGAAACCAAAACCTAAACTCAACCCCCCAAAAAGTAATGAACAAATTATCACATAAATACTGGATATTCTGGCTGTCTCCAACACACAATAACTTTATTTGAGCTAAAGCAGGCAATTAACTAACATAACCACTAGTCAGGTTACAGGTAAGAACATCCACTTTGAACACCAAAACAGGAGGGAGGTCCTAGAATTCTCTCTGAAACTACAAATACTGCCATGGTGTTTTGATCTTACACAGACATAAAAATATGACTTTAAAAATCCCTTTCAAAAAAACCATCTATTTTTAAATTCTTCAACAATGACAACACAAGTCGTAATACTTAGGCCAAGTTTGCATAAATGACTTTAGGGTTTTTTTTCTTTGCAAGGTATAGAGATAAAAAGATAACAAACTTTTGCCAAAATTTAGCTAGAATTTGGTATGTTCTGCACTTCAGAGTTCTTAGAAAATGTTTCACGTCTCATGCACTGAGTCAGCTATTGTCAAATAAGGCAGCATCTTCTCAATCTTAGGCACTAAAAACCCCCACATTTGTGTCAATAGTTTTGAATTAATGTCCAAAATTATCAGCATTTTAAAAGTATTTTCTTACATTCTGCATGTGTTTCTTCAAGGTCACAGCTGGAAAATTCACCTTAGAAGCTTCTATAATAATTTGATTTTTTAAGAAGTAACTAGAAAACAAAAGGGGAAAGAAAAAAAAACCACAAGAAAAACAGTTAAAAACCTACAGTTGCACTATTTAGACAGATGATTTAAGATGGTTTTAAAGCAGATACAAATTTGCTGCCAAAAGTAGTAATTATGAAAATACTCAAAACATAACAATGGTTTTATTTTGGAATCAAGATCCTCTCATCACCTGCTGTAAGTAATTTACAGCTGCTATAGTCAAGTCCTCAACCTATCATGGAATCACTTTGATACCTTAGGTTAGCTAAATGAATCTGGAACTGAAGAGATTTCAGCATTGCATACAAGTAAATATGAAGTCTTACATTACACAAGGACACTCAAGAGGTGTAAGGCAAATCAAAGGGATTCACATCAACACAGTTTAGACATCAAGAATATTAAAATCCCACACCAGTGTGCTCAGACAAAAGTCAAACCACTTTTGTTAGCTGTGGGCCAGTTGTACAGTAACTTAGTGAAGTAACCTGTAAAGTCACTGATCATAAGAATGCTGTGTACTCACCACATGATGCTGTCCTTGAAGAAACAGAACAAGTCCCGGAGATGTGCCAGCTCACTGCCAGAAGAATAAAGAATGAAGCCCACGGCCAAGCCACAGGACCGACAGAATAATAAATAATAAGCACTAAAAGGAGAAAGGGAAATGTTTTTAAAAAGAAGCTTTTGAAACCACAGATGCTGCATATTTGTCAGAGGACATCAAATCTTCAGTTCCCTTGGGGCAAAATCCAAGGCATAATAACACCTCCTCCTCAAAAAAGTAATATGTACAAAACCAATATCACCATAAGAAACTGGGCATGTTGTGAAAGAAGTAATCTATCTAATAAGTGAAGTTGCTATTAAGGAAGAAAATGCACATCTTACTATGACAGAATGGTTTAGAGTATTCTACTCAAACATGATTTAAGTAATAAAGCAATGCATGTGCTAGTTGTAAATTCTTTCTAATAAAATAGATTCTTACCCCATGCAGAGGGAGGGGCAAGGAAAAGTCAAAAAAAGAGCAAGTCTTATATTGAAAAAGTTCCCAGTCCTGACAGTTTGTAAAATAGCCTTTAAAAATCATTTAAACAAGCTATTGGTTCTGTAAGCCCCTAGATGACATTTCACTTCCTTCCTGTTAGACTGAGTTACCAAACCTTGCAAGAATAAGGCAGCGCAAGTTTTTTATTTTCAGTATTAAGAAAAACCAACCAGCCAACAGCCACCCCTCTCCCCAAGAACAAACCAACCAAAACCCCACCAAACCAAACAAAACGCAGAGATGTTTTAAGTAAGAAACCTTTTAGGGAAGGGAACAAAGGGACCTACAAGTTAAGCTGTCTTCTACTGCTTTGCTCCAATGTTTCTCTCTACCTACAGAGGTTATAGCAGCAAAACTCTTGGATTTCAATTGAAAACTACATCCCTACAAAAGGTTTCTCCATCCAAGTGTGAAACAGGCACAGAAGTCACTTGGGAGTTTGCCAAGCCCCTCAGAGTCCCCGCGCACAAGCCGGAGGAGCTCCCGGCCGTGCCGGAGCCCGGCTTTGCCCGCACGATTTACCGCGGCTGCCGCTCAGGGCAGGCCCGGGGCCGGAACTACGGGAGCTACGCACCATCCCAGGAGGGCTCCCTCCAGGCCGACCTGCAGCGAGTCCTCCCAGGTCACATC